TGGAAAGTATAATTATTGTTGTTGCTCGCCCTTATTGCCGCCAAGTCACATTTGTTCTTTGTTATCTGACGAGAATCCATTGTAGTCGAGACGAGCATTACTGTGCGTTATCGAATCATTGTCGCTTATTGTCGAATCTAGCATTGCGATTCTTTTATGAAACAACTTATTGACAATGTAAGAAAATTCTAGACTTGTCCGCGTATTTTTGTACGTGAAATTATTATCGAAGTCACTCATTGCTGTTGCCGACGGAATCACCCGCCGGCTATTGTTCTCATACGACGAACTTATACGCGCGGAAGGTCAACGTTGTAATGTTGTAATCATCTTTGTAACGATCTCAAATATAATATTGGTTTTCTCACCGATGTTACTGTTAATTATTGTGCATTTATTTCAGCCTCTCTACCTCGTTCTCCGACAATTTTCCCGCTCTCTGCGAACCACTCCCCTCTGTCAATTCCGTTGGCTGAGCTAGTTGTTTAGTCCGTCGCGAGAATCCGCGTAATCTATAATTTCTTGTCCGAGCAATTTATCTAAAGATTTGTGCGAAGAGTGGCACGCTCTCTCGTGCCTGGCGCCCAACGAATTTTTGATAGCGAATAAGATCTTTGCTGAACAAGGTAACTTGTTAACTTTTGTAACATCTCGAATCACGCGAGAATTATTGACGAACCGCACTATTGCTCCAGTAAGTATTGTGAATATCAAATAAGAATTTTCGCATAATTAGATTTCTTTTGGAGGACGCGACGAAGTTGTGCCGGCTCTCACGAGTACGGTTACAACATATATGTATGTATATACAGGGTGTCTGAATTAACCGCCAAATATTTCATGCGTGGGTAGAACAGACTATACTGAGTCGAAAAGTCCTGTACCATTTTGTGATTGCAGTAATAGTTAACGAGATATTAATTTTTAAAGATTGGCGAATACGCGCGTCCGTCCGGCCTACCACACAATTGAGTGTACGCCTACAGAACGCCGCGATGGGCGCGCGGGAAGCGGGACGGCCTGGCAAACGTGCCGTTCAAGTCATGACGTTTGGGGGTAGCGGCGGTGTGCGCGGCGCGGGCGGCGGAGCGCTTCCCCACTCAATGGTGTGGTAGACCGGATGAACGCGCGTATTTGCCAATCTTTAAAAATTAATATCTCGTTAACTATTGCTGCAATCTATGCAGCAATATATATGCTGCAATCCCAAAATGGTACAGGACTTTTCGACTCAGTATAGTCTGTTCTATTCACGCATGAAATATTTGGCGGTTAATTTCAGACACCCTGTATATATCAGGGAATGAAAGTAACTCGTTACTTGTAACTTCGTTATAGTTACAAGTTACTTTTTTGGTAACTTTACTGGTAACTGTGTTACTTTGTTCTTTTGTCTATAACAATAACGTAGTTACATTTTTTGGATAACGATAATGAAATTTACAGTTACTTTTATCGTTACTTTGCATATGATTGGACACGTTATTCTGTTATATAGCAATTACATGTTAATAATTACGACAGCTATAATTGTGGTTATAGGACATTGAGTGTTGTTATGTAACACAGGTGTACAAGCTACATTTAGTTTAACTTAATCTGAACATTGTACACATTTTGTTCTAATTGAGCTGTGTAAAAAGCTTTACACTGTACATTTCTGAGTACATTTATGTTAAGCAATTGAAAAATACCCCTTTTTGCAAAACTTTCATTATATATTTTAATTGTAGCGTTATAATTTTCTTTCTATCAAAATATTTGATTTACATCTATAACAGAAGTATAGATTAAGTAAAAATATAGCTGTATTATAATAAAGAGATTATGTGTATTTCTTAATTTTCCTTCTAATTTCTAACTTATATTGTGATTCAGATAGCCGTATACAATCCTATATGTATAATCTTCTATTATAGTTTTCTACAAAGTATAAAAAAATTGATCCTGAAATATTTTAGCTGTCAACTGCTGTAGCGATCCTGAAGTGATCTTTGACAGTTGAGAAATATACATATATAATATATTTAATTATTTGAAATATTTATATTTAATTATTAAAATGGTCTAAATAAAATTATTTTAGATCTGACTAAATTTTTACATATTGCAGCAAAATTGTCTTTTCCATATATTTAACGTATAAAAAATTTATTAGATTAGAGCGATCTTCGGTAAATATATAGAATAGGGGAGCCCCCCCCCCCCGATGATCTTGACCTTGACATATGTTGTCAAGGTCATGACCCTGAGTAACCTCCCGCAGGTTTTAGGTGGCGGTCACTGTTCGTTAAAAAGTTATTAACAAAAAGTTTCAAAATTAACGTACCATTTCTCGGAAATCATACATATTAACGTATAATTTCTGCCATATATGTATTATAACAAGTACTATTTTACATCTCCTTCTGTTTAGAAACGTTAAACTTTCCACGCGAAGTAACTCTCACCTCCCCCAACCCCCTGCGAAGGGGCACACGACTTCTACGATTGTACTGTTGCTATGATAGTACTGTCAGGGCAGACCTCTGTCGACGGTGTGGGTGCGGGGGGGTGGCCAAAGGCCGAAGACCACCCCCTTGCACTCGTCCGCGCGCGCGCGCGTGCGCGTGTGTGTACGTGTGTGTGTGTGTGTATTCCATTCGTTATACAGAGTGATTCAAAATGAACATAGTGTCCTTGAAATGTCATATTCCTGACTTAATTCTAAGACGATTTTTCCTTTACAAAAATGTTGTCAGAAGATTAGTTTTTGAATTATAACAAGAAATAGTTGGCAAATGACTGAGCGCGTAGAGAAGGTAGCCAGGGGCGGCGTAACTCACTGTTCGACGCAGATGGTACGGGGTCCCTCGCTGCGATCACATAATCGTTACATACGCATGAGCATATGCAATCGCATTCACACACACACACACACACGCACAAAATTACCTTGTAAAAATTTGGTAACTTCACGTTGTAGTAAAAGAGAAAAACCTCCATTTCGGTGGATCACGTACAGTTCCAAACAAATGTTTATGCTAATTAAACTTCCGTTGCTCTTATTTTAATTTAGGTATCACACGTTTCCACTGACATAATGCACACAGATCAATTAATCAGCAAATAATTAATTCGTTTCTTTAAAAACGTATCTCACTTTGACATGTTCACACGCACTCTCGATTTACATACAAACTATTCATTTACTTGAAGAAAACGAGAACTTTACTGTATCTCCATCAATTAATGTATGTCCATTTTATTATCGATGTGTACATAATTACTAATTTGCCAATTAGTCATTCAGTGACCAAAAATCACTCGAAATAAGAAACATATACCACGTTTACTCGACGATAGTTTGCAATCGACTGATTTAGTGATTTTAACAGCGAATCTGTTAGTTAATTACGATGCATCACTACTGTCGATTAATTATTCGTGGACTGAAAAGCACTCGAAGAAAGAAGCATTTACTCAACGACAGCAAGCACTAGTCGAATGACTTTAATACCGAATTTATTAGTTAATTATTAATTACTGTCGATTAATCACACACACATTCGTCACTTAAAAAAATCACTCGAAGAAAAGAATACACATGATTAACACAACGCTAATACGACACTTATTGACTCGACGAAGTACACGATCGATTTTATTGGTTATGTTTATGTTTATACTATCGCGGTCGATACGAACACTAGGTCTGTTCTTTATTCCTGCACTAATAAATTAGTGCACACGGTGTAATAAGATGAAGTGAAATAAGAACACGTTTGTTTTTTTTTCTGTGTCAGTGGAAACATGTGATACCTAAATTAAATTTCTAAGAGCAATGGAAGTTTAATTAACATAAACATTTGTTTGGAGCTGTACGTGATCCATCGAAATGGAGGTTTTTCTCTTTTACTGCAACGTGAAGTCACCGAATTTTTACAAGGTAATTTTGTGCGTGTGCGTGCGTGCGTGCGTGCGTGTGTATGTGTGTGTGTGTGTGAATGCGATTCCATATGCTCATGCGTACGTATGTAGCGATTATGTGATCGCAGCGAGGGACCCCGTACCATCCGCCTCGGACAGTGAGTTGTATCGCCCCTGGCTACCTTCTCTACGCGCTCAGTCATTCGCTAACTATTTCTTGTTATAATTCAAAAACTAATCTTCTGACAACATTTTTGCAAAGGAAAAATCGTCTTAGAATTAAGTCAGGAATATGACATTTCAAGGACACTATGTCCATTTTGAATCACCCTGTATAACGAATGGAATATACACACACACACACACACACACGGGCGGGTGCAAGGGGGTGGCCTTCGGTCACCCCCCCCCCGCACCCACACCGTCGACAGAGGTCTGCCCCGACAGTATAATCATAGCAACAGTACAATCGTAGAAGTCGTGTGCCCCTTTACAGGGGGTTGGGGGAGGTGAGAGTTACTTCGCGTGGAAAGTTTAACGTTTCTAAATAGAAGGAGATGTAAAATAGTACTTGTTATAATATATATATGGCAGAAATTATACGTTAATTTTGAAATTTTTTTTGTTAATAACTTTTAACGGACAGTGACCGCCACCTAAAACCTGCGGGAGGTTACTCAGGGTCATGACCTTGACAACATATGTCAAGGTCAAGATCATCAGGAGGGGCTCCCCTATTCTATATATTTACCCGATCTTCTTATGTATTTATTTATCTGATATTTTGTGATTAATTTGTCTAATAATACGAATTGAACCTTCTTAACGCCACCTACCGATTCTATATCTTTTCCAGGAGGTATAATTTATGATGTATTAGTCGATATTGATAATGAATGCTGCATAAAAATTCCTAATACGACTTGATAATGAGTGTAGAAATGCATCTTTATGTAAATATAAAAGGTTTATCGTCGCATGGATGCAAAGAAAACAGGCTAGAGAAAGGCAGAAAGGCATATTCATTCAATCGAGCGGCAATATAATGAAACAGAATGCAAATTGCGTTCTATATGAACATGTATACTCACTTTTCCTTCTCACTGGCTTTTGGTAGTAAAAACTTGACGGCCACGAGTCGTTTGCCAAGGGTAGTCGTCGTCCCGTATTCCGGAATCCCTTCAGCTTCCGCCACGTATACCTTTATATGCATAATTTGTTTGAATTGTATTATGTATAGAAAGTACTCATGATCAGAATAAATTTGGCAGAAAACGAGCGTTTGGCAGAAAACAATCTGTTGTAGTACTGACGAATCTCAGTTCTTTGTCATTTTACACAAGCCAACTTTGTTTATCGTTTATATTGTTAAATGTTTTTCGCAAATGTATATACTAATAACAAATTTTGTAAGTTTAATTATTAACATTAACGTTTACTTAATTTTTCAATTATGCAATGGAGCGGATTGTACTGCAAGAATTTTTTTAGTCAATGTCAAAAATAATAACATATACCTAGTATTAAGACCATACATAATATAAATTTATATATGTTCAGGAATCCGAGCGATTATATTTAAATCCTTCTAGAATTCTCAGAAAGAATGTATCGCGCTCATGAAGTGAGTTATTATTGAGCGTATGTAGAACTTGATCGGTTCAGCCGTTACTGAGATCTGATCATCTCGACTCCGAAATTTCTCCGTGTCGCGTAAAGGAGGCACGGCAGTGTCGCGCGCTTGGCTTAGCGCCGAGACACTACCGTGTCTCCAGATTGTCAATTTCCGCGACCGTTTAGTCCTCTGCGAAAAAACAAAGCGTTCGCCGAAGTCAGCTATTCATGCTCAGCTCGTCATTAAATCTCCAATCATCGGCAAGACAATTGTTTTCTTTGCATATATACCTCTTCGGTTGTGCTTATCGTGCTCGAAAGTACATCGAGAATTCGGTTATCGTTCGTATAATCCGCCGCGCATCCACGAGTGTTCTTGCGACGCAAATTACCGCGTCAAAAGACTTTCCAAATTCTCAACAGTTGTACAAATAAAGAAAATCATCGGCATTTTATTAAAAAAATTATGGCACATTTATTTCGACGCCGACCTTTCATATAAGGGCTGTCCAAGCAGCCAACGCACGAACATTTTGGTCCTTCGAGTCGGATCGGTGTCGAGTTCCAAGTGGTGCTGACCTTTCAAAGGTCCGACAAAGTTCTATGGTTTACCTATCACTAATTCCAAAGAATCATGTCTAATATCGAGGCGCTTCTGGCTGTTCAAACACAAACGATCCATTTTGCGAACTCTATCCAATTTCAAGAAACTTGGACAAGCCAAGATGACCTGTTACGAGAGAACGAATGGCTAATTTAAAGGAGCTTTTCGTCAGATGCCAGGACCTTCACGCGAAGATTATGGTTCCGGCTACCGCCAAGTTCAATCGGAGCATGCCTATTTTCAACACGAGTAATTTTTGATCTGCGAGGATGTCTACAACGAGACATTACAATAATGAATAATAAACATTAGAATAATGTTTTGAATGACATATTAAAAATTACGTGATATTCTTCGTAATACTCAATATCATCTTTAGATTTTAATATGTCATTCAAAACATTATTGAGATCAATATTCAATATCATCTTTAGATTTTAATAAATATGTCATTCAAAACATTATTGAGATCCATGATGTTATAAGTATTAAAAATTGTTTCAATTTTAATTCGTGATAATACTGCGGTAGTAAGTTTGTTTGCGTTATGTCTGAATAGTATATCAGCGCGCGATTGTTGGGGGGACTACATACGCGGTATATAAAAATCACACATAATTATAATAAACACTATGATCCAGCTTTGACGTTATAAGGTTGTTGTTCTTATTCTTGTTTGTTTATCAATGTACGGTCGTATTAAGATTTTAATTTATATTTTCTAAGTTTAATAATATATTACCACGAAAAGTAAATGATAGATTAGTCAAGGTGCAAATTCAAAATGAACATACATACATACAGGGAATGGAAGTAACTCGTTTCTAGTATCTAACGAAGTTACAGTTATAAGTTACCTTTTTGGTAACTTTACTGGTAACTGCATTACTTTCTTTCTTTGGTAACTGTAACGGTAACGTAGTTACATTTTTTGGATAACGGTAACGAAATTTACAATTACTTTTATCGTTATTTTGCATACGTCATTTCGTTATATAACAATTAAATGTTATTAATTATGACAGCTATAAATGTGGTTGTAGGACATTGAGTGTTTTTATGTAACACAAGTGTACAAGCTACATTTAGTTTAATATAATCTAAACATCGTACACATTTTGTTCTAATTAAACTGTGTATAAAAGTTTTACTATGTACACCCCTTTTTGCAAAACTTCTGTTATGTATTTTAATTATAGCGTTATAATTTTCTTTCTATCAAAATATGTATTTGATTTACAGCTAAAAGTATAGATTAAGTAAAAATATAGCTGTATTACAATAAAGATGTGTATTTCTTAATTTTCCTTCTAATTTCTAACTTATATTGTGATTCAGATAGTCGTATACAATCCTATATGTATAATCTTCTATTATAGTTTTCTACAAAGTATAAAAAAATTGATCCTGAAATATTTTAACTGTGAACTGCTGTAGCAATCCTAAAGTGATCTTTGACAGCTGAGAAATATACCGGGTGGGGCAATAACTTTGTCCACTTAGAATATCTCCACTATTTTTAGAGATATGAAAATATTGTTATTACAAAAGTTGTAGGGCATCAAGAGAATTATAACATATGCTAGTCATAATTTTTTTAGGTGGAAGCGCTTCGGAGATTTCAAGGTCAACTTCATTTTTTTAAATAGAATTATATGAATTTTTTTCACTACATGATTCTCCTAATTATTCTGTACATAAAAGTATTAAGGTGGAGATATAAAAAAACCAATAGTTTACGAGATATTTTACACATTCTTTTGATGCATATTGACAAAAAATGTTTAATAACTCATGAACTACTGACTTTTTGATAACCGTACCTTAATGCTTTTGTAAACAGTATAATGAGATGAATCAATTGGTGTGAAGAAAACGCATAGTTGCTATAAAAAAATATGTATGCAAAATGGATAATTTAGAAATAAGTACGATTATCAAAAAGTCAATAGTTCACGAATTATTAAACATTTTTTGTCAATATGCACCAAAAGAATGTGTAAAATATCTCGTAAACTATTGGTTTTTTTATATCTCCACCTTAATACTTTTATGTACAGAATAACTAGGGGAAGCATATAGTAAAAAAAATTCATATAATTCCATTTAAAAAAATGAAGTTGACCTTGCAATCTTAGAAGCGCCTCCACCTAAAAAAATTATGACTAGCATATGTTATAGTTCTCTTGATGCTCTACAACTTTTGTAATACAAAATTTTCATATATCTCTAAAAATAGCGGAGATTCAAGGTAGACAAAGTTATTGACCCACCCGGTATACAGTAGGTTATTTCAGGAATTATTTTGCACTTCTATCTTCTATGTGATACATCGGATATATGTACATCTCAGTTTAATGCATATTTTACAGGTTTTAGAATTACGAAATTGTATTTAAAAAAAAACTAAAAAATAAAACTATACATAGTGTCAACGTTATACATGCTATATAATATATATATATATATTGCTTTTATTAACGATTAAACAAAAAATACTGCAAAAGTAAATTTTCAGACTGATTTTTAAAAAGTAATGGAAAAGTAACGAAAAGTTACCTTTCGAGTAACGGTAATTTGTAACGAGTTATTTTTAAAAAGCGATAACTGGTAACGGCGTAGTAACTCGTTATTTTTTTTACTCGGTAACGAGTAACTGTAACTTGTTACTTTTAAAAAGTAATTTTTCATTCCCCCCCTGTATACATATAAGTAAAACAGATTACAATTTGCAAATTACAGTTTTTTAGAAAGTAACTGCAATATGTTATTCTTAGTGCACAAAATATAAAAGTCGATTATTGACATTTGATTTAAAAGGACCCCGCACAAAACTTATGGAAAATGGTTTTCGGTCAAATTGGCTGAAATTTTACTATGTTATAGTTTTCACCATGCTGATAAAAAGTTATCATTGCACCAAGTCCCAAAAGTCAATATTTCCCAAGATATAAAGGGTCAAAGTATTGAAATATGGTCATCCACAGTAGAGTCCTAGATATCAGAGAAGCGCAACCGGCTTAAGTCAGTATCGCAAAATTACTAAGAAAAGTATTAAAAATGGCGTCGTTTGCAGACGAACTATGAAATCCACCAATCGTCTATTAGTCAGCCATTTTTAATACCACTGAATGAATGTCATGATTGGCTGACAGTCAGCTAATCAGGACGCGGAACATCGGTTGCGTTTCTCTAATATCTAGGACTCTAATCCGCAGTAGTAAGACGTATGTTATAAGTATAAGTGATACATTGATATTTATTCACGAAATAAATAAAAATCGATTTTTACATGTATACATATATATACAGGATATCCCAGACTAACCGGAAAATATTACATGAACAGCTAACGATGGCGGATATTCGGTAATAATAGGCCGGACGAACGAGTTTATTCGGTTATATTTAAGGACGTTCACCGGCTACAATCGTAGCCAAAAGTTTACTGCTCGCTCGCTTCTCGGTGCATAGCGCATGTCTCTCCCCACTCCGCTTCCCATGCCAATACTTTTTCTGCTGAGTGTACTCACGCACAAGCAAACGGGGTTCGATGCCTTGTATGTATACACGCACACTAGCCTGTTGAGAAAAGTGGGGACCCGTCTCATAGCAACGGCTCTCCTTCCATGCGACGACTTATTTCAAGTGCTGTCGGATACACTACTTCGAACTTCGATAACTCAAAAACGGCACCGCTACGGATCCCCGTTTTTTTTCATGTTATTTCTAGCATCATCCTGCATCATATCCTAATTTTTTTAGAACAATCGTATAGATATCACAGTCGCTATGAATTGAAATGTCACTTGAGCGCACGCTTGGGCTATACCTTACATGTTAAAAGCTGCAACTTTGAAAATTAATAACTCGAATTCGGTACCGCTAAATTTTCTGAATTTTGGAGGATATATCGATAATGATATTAATATCATGTAGTTAAAATTTGAAGCATTTTGTATAGAAATCGATTAGCCGGTGAA